AAGCTTCTTAGTGTCGCTCCGCGGGGGGCTGGGGATCGCGGCGGGGGCCGTGATCCCCAACTCCCGCCCCCCAACACCAACCGGGGCGGCGGGCGCAGGGGGTGGTGTCCCCCCAGCGCCCGAATAAAGTCGAAGGTGCCAAGCACTGCCCGGGGTCACGTCGTCTCTCAGACGACGCCATAAAAATCCCCGGGCGGGAATAGAAGTCGGCAATAAGCCGACTGGCCTGAAGGACTCCCAGAAATATGCTGCACGCGTTCCTGGGAGTCCCTCATGCAAGGCCAGGTAAGGACACTCGGAGGGGTTTTAGTGGGTGCAAGCCCCACATAACCCCGGGCTCTCCCCCGAGGCTCGGGGTATGCGTCAGGCATTTCCCCTCCGTTATCAAAAAAAAAAAAAAGGGGGTATAGATAGTAGTGCTTATTGGTTCGGAATGGCTATGTCGATTTTAATAAAACTTTGCATATTTGTAGAATTTTGAAAAATATTTGACTTTTTTTTATCGGCAAAGATCCACTCTGAAGGATGAAAACTATCCCATAAAAGTAAGGATAGATTTAACATATTAGGTGAAAAAAGTTGAAAATCTATTTTGACGATTTCAGCTACGTGCCGTATCTACAGATTATTTAACTCTGTTAAAAAACAAACACGTAAACATCAGACCGCTCATATCTACAGTATATAGCGGGGAGCACAGACTCTTGCATAATACATAATACATAATACATTAAAAAATGAATCAATCAAAGTCCTTTATTTTTTTTCTTTTCATGAAATAAAAGACTCTATTTGATTGATTTTCTTATGCCTTATGTTTTATGCGTTATGTAAGAATCTGTGCTCCCCGCTTATGTATGCATCAGTAAAAAGGGGAAACGCTTGTGTGCCCGCCGCATTTACTCATAATCGCACGTGACATGCGAAGAAAACTTTTGAATTTTATATTTTTACATAAGATTTAGTTTCAGCGATCCCCAAAACCCCTTAACTCATTTTACTTTTTAAAATTTTCAACTTATTTCACCTAATATGTTAAATCTACCTTTAAGGGGGGAGGGGGATAGTTTTCACCCTTCAGAGTGGAATTTTGCCGATAAAAAAAATATATGTCAAATATCACAGGAATTTCAAAGTTCTACAAATAGTAAAGTTTCGTTAAAATCTCTGAGTGATACTTCCATAGGTTGAAACGTTTTATTTTTTTTATTCGAAAACTACAATGAATATCTCAAAATGTTATAAGACTTTTATTTCCTTTAACTCCTTCCATGCCAATGTGGATCGTACATCATTTCTGAGATACCCTATATGATTGGACTTTTTGATTAACTACATCATGTTGTCATGTTGAAATTCAGGTTTCAGTAAATATTTCTTTTTCTTCTTACCATCTTATTACACAAACATAAAAAATTAGTTTTAAATAATTATGAAAAGTATTTCTTGATAGCGCGCCACTTCCGAAGAAAGTATCCTGGCGCCGCCAGGCCTCCGAAAAAAGTACCTTGGCACCGCTAGGCCCCCGGATATTGAGCATGAAACTTTTTTGCTAGGATGAAAAGTGAAAAGTGGAAAATTTTTCCATTAACTTCAATGTTAAAATTTTCACTTTTCACTTTCTATCCTAAGGATAAAGTTTCATGATACTCTGGGCTCGATATACCTATGCAATTGCGAGTCTCTTTTTAGGATCTATAGAGGAATTCTCACTGAGAGAAAGAGAGAGAGAGAGAGAGAGAGAGAGAGAGAGAGAGAGAGAGAGAGAAAAGATCCGGATAAGAAACAAAAACATAATTCTTGTGTCGATTTATAGAGAGCTTTGCTGGAAAGCTCCCTTTGTATGCAAAAAAGTAGATTAAGTAAGATATTCCATAAAATATACAAAAATGTTGTACTGTTTAATATACTTCAAAATTGATCACATAAACGTAAAATGAGAACAAAAGAATGAGAAAATATATAGATAATAGGTGTAACATTTATTAATGGATGAATATACGAATATAATTCACAATAGTACACTAGCCAAATTATAACTATAAAGCATAAATAATTTAAATGTATACACGTATAGGTAGACTATAGCCGATAAATTTGGACTTTTTAAGTGAGAGTTAAATATTTTACATTTATATTTATTGCATATGTTGACGCCTACGAGCAGCTCTCTGTTTATCAAAACGTAATTCCATTTCTTCGAGAACACGTGGAGTATAACGAACTACTAATTTTACAGAATTTTGAGCTTGCTTTAGTAATTCCACTGCCTTCTCATGATTTTCACCTTCGACGCACTAAAACAAATTATTTTATTATTGTAAAATGTGTTTTATAATAAATAAATAAAAAAGATAACATTTTAACCAACCACTCCATTAACAGATAAAAGCTGATCTCCACGTTTTAAACCACCGTGTCTATCAGCAACACCACCAGGTATAATGCGAGATATATAAATCGGCGAATTTTGTTCTTTACCTCCCATTACATTAAAACCAAGTCCTTCTTCCGTTTTAGGTAATTCGACTACACGTGGATGTGCATGACCTTCACTAGCTGCAAAAGCAGCAACAGTTGCTTTTGCTGTTGCAGATGCACGTACATCCTGTGATCCCTTTATAATAATGTGAATTAATTATCAACAATTATAAGTATATGAGTAGAACTACATTCCATTTAACGCTCAAGACGGGAGGAATTATTTCTCGTTATTTATCAAATATTAAATAAGGACAAACGATGCTCGTGCATGTTGCGAGCGTTAAGTGGAACATAGTCTTAGTAATTATGAAAGAGAGGGTTTATTCACTTTTTTTTAAATTATACTTATTTGACGCATTTTTATACGAAATAAATGAATTTGACAGAAAAATATCGCTCTGCTTTTAAATATTAAACATTAAAATTATTTTATTTTGTAAATTTTCCCTCGGGCACCGACGAGATACGTTTATTCTAACGGGATTACCTTTGAGTGTCCGATCTTCGGGCCACAAATAAGGCGCGAAGGCACTATATCAAATTATACTGGCAATTATACGGTCGATTTAGATGCTTTCAATGCTTTTCAATACTTCTTTTCTTATTTTACATCTAATGAAGCTACTCAATCAAACTCGTAAAAAGTCCCTTTTTTCTTATTATATAACTCTAAACTGTTTGTTCAATTCGCAATGGTCTTAAATCTCCCAACAATATAACACAATTAAATTTTGTCAATAAACAATGATATGCAGGGCGCCTGACCGAACACGAAACGGAAAATTACGAGCGTGCTACCCGCGCAACTCGATGTCCCGCAAGCATTAATCCTTAATATACATTTTAGTTTTTGGCACTCTTACTATACATGAGGTTTTTCGTCCTGGATTAATTTTTATCACTTTTACAAGTGTATAAAAATTATTAAGCAATTTTCACATATATATATATATATATATATATTTTTTTTTTACATATTTAGGATGCTGTACATTTGTGAAGTTGTATATTACACGTATATAAATTGTTATAATTAAATATAGCTAACAAAATAAGAAAAATATACTGTTTTTCATACAAAAATGTAAAATTCTGAAATAAAAATATTTAAAGGAAAAATATGTTTCAATATCTTAAAGTTGACATTCCAAACTACAAAAGAAATATTATTATAGTTAAAGTCCAAAAAATTTAGTTACTTAGTAACCTGAAAATAAAGTTTTTTTAATATGCATGAATGGTTATAAATTAAAGATATACTGAACTTACATTTTAAACAATATATTTTATTATTGCTATTGTATTTAAAAAATTTATAATTTATTAGGAAAATGTTCTTAATAACATTACATACATCATAATATATAATATTACGGACAACATTTAACACAAAGGTGCCAAAAACCATTGTGTTTATTAAGGATTAATATGTTGTTCTGAGGTTAAATTCTTTTTTTAATAATTCGTGAAATCTCATAATACAAATGAGAATTAGTTAAAAATAAAGAAAAAAAATAATTTTTTTAGTTAAAAAAAATGTATACCCTGTACACACGGGTCATTTACGATCCAGAGGTGAACTTCGGAATTATTCTAGTTAAAGGATATACACGAATTATTTAAGGCCACGCACAAAACTTGTATTTTAAATGTCATACTTTCTTTAGGAATAGCAGAAAGACTTGTACATTGGCCAAGTGCTCTCAAGTATTTCAAAGAAAAGAAATGCGCAGGACACGAATGACCCAAAGGTGTATATTAAGGGTTAAAGTTGACAAGTATTTAGATTAGAAAATCTGTCACCTCAATGGCATAGACGGACATGACAATATGTAAATGAGATTAAAATATTTTCTGTTTCAATTACACAAATTGTTTTAAAAACAAATTATTTTCTATATAATTTTTGTTTTTACAGAATTTATTTTGGTTAAGGGTAATTATACAGTTCAGCTTCCATAGATCAAAAATCAATAATATTAAGCTTATTCGACGTATGTTTGCATGAAATGAAAGAATCTGACAGAAATAAGCGTCGTTCTGCCTTGCGAACAGAGATATTAAATGTTAAAGTTTTTTTTCTTTTTTTCTTCGGAGTGTCCCTCAGGTGAGGGAAAGGAAAATGGTACCTTCAAAAAATGACGACTATTGAAGTTAAGAAATCTGTCACATCGACTTAACTCTTAATCGGGCACTTCTGAACCAAACGTTAAGACTTAAATACAATAGGCACAGACAATAGGTACAGGGAACAGAGAATAACAATGCTGTCTAATTAGAGTTATATAGAGAGACATAATATCGAACTTACACACCAGAGCTCTGATTGGATGGCTTGTTATTCACTGTTGCCTATGCTTATTGCCTGTGTTTAAGCCTTTAAAAGGTTCTCTACATAGAAGTCGTAGACGTCGTGGAGTCTTAAGTCGTAGGAAATTGACACCAATTCTAATCGAGTATTCTTCTTATATTTGATTGTGATTGATTGGTTTCCTATGACTTAAGGCTCGACGATAGTCTACGACTTCTATGTAGAGGACCCATAATGGCGTGCGGTATTGAATGCAGCATCACAAATTTATTAGATAATTATTTAGAATACGGGTCCCCTCCCCCTAGAATCTTAATAAAAATGTACTTATTCGACACGTTTTCACTCAAAACGAAAGAATCAAAAAACGCGGCGGTCGATCTTGTGAATTGAGTTATTAAGCGTTAAGACTCGTCTACATGACAAGACGTAACACGGTGTAAGAACGCAGGCGCAGACGCAAGAGAATCGTTCCTGGTCATAGCGGCGCAACGGAAATAAATTAATTTTATTTTCGACGCCTGCGCCCACATTACGCTGGCTGTTTGACGCGGTTATATTATATGTATAGTTATTATGGTTCGAGTTCATAAAAATGAACAAGAAAAATTATTATCGAGACACTATCGTGTTTCTTGATAATAATGAGAAAGAAAATAATAATGGATCAATAGGAAATAATGTCAGACGAACGTGTATTATATATCCGTACATTCATTAACTTTGTGTACCCCAATGTTCAACTGTATGTTAAAACACTGTTAGCAGATATAAAAAAATCATAGCAGTTTATTTTTCACCACTATTTGTATTAGCGACTATAATGTTCGAACGATCGTACGCGTTCTTGCGCTTGTTTTGCGCACGTTCCCGTACAGAAAAGCATGGCGCAGACTTCTTACGTCTACACTTAAGCTTGCGCCGCGCTTTTACGTCTTGTCGTGTAAACAAGCTTATGTTCGAGACTTTAGAGTATAAATATATAAGATACACTCGGCATCCATATACTTTTCTATAGAGAATGCCAATCGGCAATTTAGACTGCGCGCGGATTGGTGAAGTAAAGGAACCAAGCTAAAAATCAGCCGAATATGCAACTAAATTCCAACTGTATTCTATATGAGCTGTGTTCGTTTTGGCGCTCACAACGCTTTAAGTGTCGTTTTATCCTTGTTTTTAAATATTAAACAAGGACAATTGATGCTCACAAACGTCATGAGCACCAAATGAACGCAGCCATGTATATGCTGGATTTGGCAGAACGGTACGAGAGGTAAAATATCGGGGCAACCTATGTATCCTTCCTTGCACAAGGAAAGATTCAATATCAATTTCACAATGCGAAACAAGTAAGTATTCATAATCAATTCTTACGTACAATCTTAAAATGTCATAAGTCAATCCGAGAATTGTAGCATCTTAAAACATTATTTAAGACAGTTTTAAAATAAAGACGGACTATGAATACCGCCCCATCTTTAGTGTTTCACGGTTGGTAGCCCACTCACACTATAGACAACGCGAAGCAAAAGTAGCCATAGTTTGGCCGAACTGCACACATAATATTTCCATTATGATGTGGTCCTGAATTTATATCATGGTGGAAGAATTACATATCTTGTTCCAAGTTCGGCCAAACTACGCCTACTTTTGCTCTGCGTCATCAATAGTAGTCGAGGGCTATACCAACTGTGATACGTGAAAGTCCGTTCTTATTTTAAAACCGTCTAAATAATGTCTTAAGATGCTAATACAGCCCTCAGATTGACTTATTACTTAAGATTGTATTTAAGACAGTTTTAAATGTAAGAATCGACTATGAATACCGACCTGTTTCGCGTCGTGAAGTTGATACTGAATCTTTCCTCTTTATACTTTGTGTCTCTTTCTATAGAAGAGAACTTAAGCATTATAAAATGTGTCAAACAAGGAAAAATAGCTGTTCCTACTATGAACAGTCCATAAATGGAGGAGGCAGAGATTTAGACAAAGACACTGTCTAACTGCACACACCATGTCATCCCTTCCATCATGATTTATATTCGGACCAACCGAATGAACTGAGTTAAAAAAATTATCACTGACAAGATAGCAGACAAATTGAATATTTCTGATTTATTTATGTCTATATAATTTGAGAATCGATTGGGGAAATTAGAGAAAAGCATTTAAACATTTGGGTAATAGTTTGGATAATATTTTTATTATTAACAAATTTTATTGTGCAATTTTATTATTATCAAATTAGCAGATAGCGATTTTATTTGTTTTATGAATGGAATCGATTAGAAATCAAATTGGGGAAGACCCTTTATTATTATTTTCATTTGAGAAAAGTCACTATTTAAATAATTCAATAGATTTACACATTACGAAAACGAACAAAATCCGGATATGGATATAGTACATAATATCTCTTGACATATATTATATGTATACATGGTGTATTCTAAAAGTAATGCGCATTTTCTGGGAAAAATAGATTTATTGATCGTAGCGGTACAAATGCTCAAAATTCTTCAAAATATTCTCCCCCTGAATCAATACACTTGCGGAGACGTGTCTGCCACGCCTGGAAGGCACGCTGAAACTCCTCGACGGGAATGTCTCTTAGGAACGTTGTAACATGCTTTTGGATGTTTTCCACGGACTCCCAATGCTTTCCTTTCAGCTCTCTCTTCAGACGGGGAAACAAAAAAAAGTCGCACGGAGCCAAGTCGGGACTGTAAGGGGGCTGTGGGACCACCGGGGTGTTGCTCCGGGCCAGGTAGTTGGCAACGATGAAGGCCGTGTGGCTGGGGGCATTTTCATGGTGAAGCTTG